ACTCTTTTGTTAGTGAGAAGGTTTAATAAAATCTGGTGATCTGGATTCACTTTGGAAAGTGACGCAAATAATGCGTCGCTATCAACTCAGTAATATAAAGATGGATTGAATCCACAGTCTTCTGCTCAGTAAGCAAAAACTGCCGCCATCAGACCACCGAGCCCATCACATCAAATCACTGCGACCGACGGCCGTTTAAACCTGTCGACATTGAGCTATTCTAATGAAATGACGTCTGCGAAAGGAGTCCAACCCGGAACGAACATACGTCATATTTTACCTCATATGATTGACCTAGCAAGCATGAGCATGCATGATTGACCGCCCACGGTTGCTGCTCTGTTATTACCAGATCAGCTGCAATTACACAGAGAACCAACAGATGATGTTTGGGACTAACATTCATCCTCAATGTGTAAGAAACTGGAGATCTAATATTTAGCAATACCAGCGCCGGCCGTGTCCGAATGCAGGTCAACTAGGGAATGGGAAGGAATGTGTTGACGTGGTACTCGCTGTGAAGGAAACCGAGAAATCCTCTGCGCTTCCACGAGAAATCACTGGGATGTTGGATGTGGGGAAAGGTTGCACACGCACGCACACACAGGGATCGTTTTTGGTAGAGCGATTATAATACACAAACACACACACACACGCGCGCGCACTCATCCAATTTCTATTTTTAGATCAGGACCCACACTGTGGTAAGTGATGCGATCGGTGTTAAAGAAGAATTTGTTTTCATTAAAATCTAGTGGGTATAGAATAAGGCAAAGTGCAAAATTGCAAGGAAGGGGACGGGCCTGGGATTGAACTCCCGACCTTCTGCTCAGTAAGCAGAAACGGTAACCACTGAGCTACCGAGCCTCGTCTTTACCTCATATGATTGACCTAACAATTGACAAACAAACAAAACCTATGATTTCCCGCTCAGTAGCAAAAACGGTCGCTACTTGGCCACTGAGCTCCTTCCATCACAATCAATCACTACGAATGACGATCATAATCATAATATAAATCATGTGGTCGACCAGTACGTAAGTTGTTTAAAAATAAAGGCAAAATCGATGCAACCCTTGCTACAAAGTAAAGAAGCCTGAGATTGAACGTACGATTTTCTGCACAGCTAATAAAATACGTTTTCATAGTGAAATGTATTTCCATCAATGTATGAGCTAGGTAAAGAAGTGCACATTTGATTAGTGTTGTCGCAATAATGGCCCTTCGCTCAATTTCAACTTCAGTCCAATTTTCACACTGCCGTACTCTAGCGGAACTATCAATCTATCCTCTTCAGGACTTTCTCTAGCTAATAAATTATCGTACTAATGCTTCATGTTGATATTAGTACAGGTATACCTCGATATAACGTAACTGTCACTTTTGACTTCCATTGTTGATTTCCCACAAATTATCATTCAAACAAGCAAAGTAATATCACCATAGAAGTAACTCTAAGACCAGAAGGTCCCGAAGAAACGTGCTCAAGTTTTTGGCTCAGCTCTGGTACTCTCTTCGGTCCCAAGCTAATCGATGCACCCCTCGAAACATAGGAAATCCACTAACCCACTAATTTTATCTGTCAAACTTTCATAGCGAATCAATACAAACATAGTGTAGTACTAGAATTTCGACTAGAATGGGGTACGTTAATCGATTTGCTTGGGACCAATAGACTAGTCAAGTAGTGAGCCAATTTAATCGTTAGTTTCAACCGGTTGATATCACCATCGGACAGATGAGATAATCCCCCATTGTTTTAAACGTGAGTATTTTTTACTGTAAAGGAATTATTTTATACTACAACTTTGTCTCAGACGTCAGTTAAATAAATAATTCAAAATTCAACTCGAAAACGTCACTCCCAAACGTTTTCGAGTTGAATTTTGAATTATTTATGCCAGATTCAAAATGGCCGATTTTTAGAAAAAATGTGAATGATTGATCATAACAAACAATTATGCAAAGTTTCATGAAATTATTTTTTTATTTGGTCTGCAAATGCTCCATAGGTTTCACAGTTTCCAGTAGCAATACCAACAACTACAATTTACTTGCTCAGCTTCATTTTTTTTTACGTTCTAAAGTGATCAAATCTTCGCCAGATTACGAAAAAATAAACGAATTTTACCTCTCAGAAATCCATGAAACTTCACATAATTGTTTGTGGAAAAAAAGTTCAAAATGTTACTAAAAGTTGATGTTCTGCGATTTTGAATATCAGAAAAGCTAGTATTTTTGATAAGATTTCAAATTAACATTGGTAATATTAAAAAAGAACTTTTTTATTTTATTGAAGTTTTTAACAGTGTTTTGAATTTTTTGAAGAAAATTTGTGATGTTTTTTTGTGTGTTAAAAGGCTATCCCAGTTTCCTACAACTTTTTTTCATGCGTCATTTCGGATAGATGAGCCGTTTTGGTACTATGATCTATTGCAAAATATCGAATACGCAATTTTGAAAAATTAGTCGCGAGTCAAAATTGCCGAATTTCAGCACAAACTTGGTTAATACCAAAACATGTATGGTACCTGTATATATGCAATTACAATAACATCCAGAGTCCCTCCTGTCTTACATATTTAAAAAATACTTGCCAAGCTCCGCCCCTGGATGGGAAATCTAATTACGTAAATAAGGGTTCCAACATTTTTTCAGGGCTAGGTACTATATGTTGTAGTCTGTGAAAGGGAAATCACTTATCGTGTATCATCAATATACATGGCATGTTGCGAGATTGAGCTCGTGAGAGAAAATTTTCGATCTTGGATTTGATTTTTTTGGGTAAATACCAGCGAATCCAAACACATAAAGCAACCAACGATACAGACAAAACGCTCTGCAACACAGATCGATCGGAGTGGTAGAAGGATAATTATATCAAGAACAACATCTGAAAAGGGCATACAAGCTTTTTGTAAAAAAAAACTTCTTAAGCCATTTTCTCGCCATCCATATGACACCAACGACCGTGGGTGACCCTCGGTTGGCGAGAAAAGGGCCTACAAAGGTTTGTTTACAAAAAGCTCGTATGCCCTTTTCACATGTGGCTCTTGATATATTGCTTACCTGCTTTTTTACAATATACATGGTTGAGGACATAGCTTGATCGGAATCGATAAAAGGCATAACAAAAAAAATCCCATCAACACACGTGTATCATCTTCGGCTATACGTCGTGAAGCAGCTTGCCACCAATTTTGTCGTTTCCTTCTACCGGCTTGTGCGAGCTGTGTTGCAGAAGCTGTTTGTCATGATGAAAGAGGAAGAAGATTATATCATTACTGCTTTCCATTTCTGACAAAGCGTTGTCGCTTAGCTCGTTGATCGCTTGTCATTTTTGTCATATTTTTGATTCATAGGTAAATACTAAATGATTCTATTGAATTTCAATTGTAGCTTGTTTAACAGTCATATCCGGGAAAAAAACTGAACGACCAAATCCCGACTGATTTCTTTAGGTTATCGTTCACTTTTTTCGACCTGAATATGCATCGAAAGTGAACTATTCCAATTTCCCTCAATTTATATATGGAGATGTTTTACTTCCTAGCAGCAGAACAGCACCATTTCTATGAAAAATTACCTGACGATATGATTCATTGCTACTAGTGAACAGTTATGAGAAGTTTCGTGGAATTCGGAGAGGGTAAATAACATTGAATTGTCAGTTTGCGTGGTTTTGTTCAGGTTTTTCCATGTGTCCATTTTCTTATCACCCTTCTAAATTTCAAGAGCACAAATCTCAAGATTTACGTGATTTATAACACTGTAAATTTTATACATACGTTGCTTCTCCACAGCCAACAACAAGTAGTAGTTTCAGCTACGGCATTCACAAAAACTTTAATATTTTGACTTGTGAAATTGTGAAGTGTAATGCGAAAGAGGACGCTACAAGGAATCACCTTAAGGTTAATTTATCGTTTCAAGTATTTTCCCCTACCTGTAATGTATTGAAATGGACCAATCAAAAATCAATTATGTATCATTCACGGCCGATTCTGTTGCTCAAAAATAGGAATGAAGTAGCTAAAGAAAATCTAAACATTGAGAAATTTAACTTTTCTCAACGAACATTAAAAACAAAACTTATTCAACAAAAACTAGTTGGAATCATTCAGGGATTATGCAGCTAATAGCACTTAGAATAAACTTAATGTTGTACATTTTTTATGTGTTCTTTATAACAAATTTAACAGAAAAAAATTTAAAAAAATTAAATCTTGTGGAATTTTTTTTTAAATTCTTGCAAAAACCCATAATTTATAGACATAATGCTATTATGGCGACGTTTGCTTTAAATTTTCGCTGTCAAGAGTAAATCAATAGCATCACAATTCTTGATACTTGTCAAAGATGTATTTGATAAACAAACATATAGATATGAGTTTTATTAAGGTTGTATTCATAACAAACATGCAAGACAATCATAGTTAAAATTATCGCCGTTTCACCTTCTGGACGATCATATAATGGAAATTAACCTGTAAATTTTGATATTTTATGCATGATACAATAGAGCCAGATTTGTTTAACATACCAATAAAATTATCCATTAGTATAGAAACATTTTATCATTCCGAAACAAACCCATATTCACACTGAAGTGGAAGAAAAATAACTGCAAGATGACATCCGGGAATCCAGAAGGAAAATAATAAAAAAAACAGCGGAGATGCTTTTGATAATGGAGAGCAATCATGGCAAGTGGCAGTGCAAACGCAAAGAGGGTACATGAAAGAAATTTTCATCTAAAAATGAATGCACTCCAAAAGAGGTAAAAAGAAACCATGACACTCGATCAGGACCAAACGGAAAAGAAGACGACATATCAAATGATCAAAAACAAATGCCAGATAGCGAAACATACATATATGATATAAGGTATAAGCTATACGTGGGAGCTAGCCAAAGACGATAAGAGTGATATCAAAAGAGAAAAAGAGCAAAACAGAGCGAGAAATAAAGGAAACTTCAATGTGATGACTTTTACGTACAGAAACTATCCGGAGACCTGAAATCGAGTTAGACACGCCGTGCGCTGAAAAAACACAATATAGTGAATGAGAGCGAAGTATTGGATGAAAATTGATATTGTTCTGCTGGCTCGATGGGAATTCGCGCCAACGATGGAGGGGGGAAAGTATCCTAAAATGTATATATGCTTATGTCTGAAAGGAAAAAGTAAAAATGCACTCTAATAAAGAAAAAAAAACAATAGTATTTATGATAAGATAAACGCCAATCGTACAGCGGAGATGGAACGGAAAACTGAGAAGGCATGCAATTTACCCTACTGAAGTGTGGAGGAAACGATCCGATTCGGTACTGCCTAACTGATAAAACTTAGTAGCTACAACAATACCACCAAACAAGAAGCGCAGATGTATTGGAGTTGTGTTTGCTTGTTCGCTGATTCATTCCTGTTTGGCTAATCGTACTCGGTTCCGAAGGTAAACAAGATGACTTCAATTATCGTCGTGGTCGTCGTCGAACCACCGCGCGGGCACAACAGATGAACGAGGACGTGTGCCTCGCGAGCAGGCAGGCAGACCACAGGTATGTGAGTGCTTTTAGAATAACTCAATCATGCACCAATTTGACATCATTGGTTCCATCAAGCGGCGCATGGGAATTTAATGTTGGACCGCCCAATCCGGGCTTATACGGTAAAATGGAACCGAACTTTTGGACGCTTAATGGAACGATGAACAATAAAGCTGTAATGCGGCTTAATGCAAGCCTATTTTACTACCACTTTATCCGCGGTGGGTTCATGTCTAGACGAACAATTGAAATAGGTGGAACAACCAAACGTAAACAATGGCTTTAAACACAAATTTCTCGGGAATCAAAACACACCCACGATAAGTTTGCTCTTTCAGATGCTGGTGTTAGATTGCGTGGGTGTGGTTTGATTCTCGAGAAATTTTCGTTTAAAACCATTGTTTACGTTTCGTTGTTCCGCCTATTTCAATTGTTGGTCTAGATGTGAAAGTGCGAAGAAGTAACATTTAAATATTGAAACAAATTTTTTGTAGTATGTACGAACGTTGTTAGAAATGAAAGTTCGGGAAAATCGACATTTTCATGTATATTAATTCTCAAACCCTCAACGTCTGATTTATCTATCCATCTATAAAAAAAAACCGCAACTGCTCAAGTTTTGATGAAATTAATTGAGTTTATTACAAGCCCATTCCAAAATGCGTTGCTGACATCATTTTCCTAAAAAAACGGATCGAATATTTGTTTGGATACGCTGACAAAGCTGCTGGAATAATTCGAAGCAGTGCGACTTCAACGGAAGAAGAGGGCAGCATCAATATTTCTCATGGAATTTCACATAAAAGTTAAATAATATCCCTGTGAATCAGTCCACAAACAAGATCATCAATATGTGACTATCTCAATCGGGAAAACCAAACTAATCACATTCGAAAGTATGACTTTTTAGTCGCTGCGCTGTCCGCTATCCATATCGAATTATTGTCGCTACAGTTGAAAACTGGAATAACCCACTAGCGCAAATCGATTTTACTCTCATTCTACAGGTTATACATAGTGTCGGAAGTAATGCACATTATAGCGCATCATTGTGCGATTACAGCGCATTTCTTCCGACACTATGTATAACGTATAGAACAATAGTAAAATCGATTTTCGTTAATGGGTTATTTCAGTTTTCAGCTGTAGCGACAATACTAGTTTTCAAAAGAGATCTTTGCCAAGTTTGTCCTACTTAGAGCAGTTGGTCTTAGAAGTAGGGTTAATTTTGCATCGAAACCTTAAATAGCCTAAGAAATATAGAAGATCTCAGCAAAGCGTAAATTAATGACAGCTGAGTCTGAATGTCGTGTGCAGCGCCGCACCTTTCAATTCATCCCCATATTAATCTATTAATGGTTGTAATACTAAAATTAAATCACAAACGCCAAATGCAGGGCGGTTACAAGATTTTCAAATTTATCCGCGAAATCCACGATTTTTCAAAACAAATCCGCGATTTCAAATACTAATCTACGACAATAAAAAAAAATGTTTCTATTGTTTAAAAATATCATTTGTATTACTACTACAGGGTGCGTGACGAATTTTTGCAGTAAATTTCAAATAGTAATTTCTCATGCTTGTGCATCATGATTTAGATATATTTGGCAGCACTGGATAGCTTATACTGTTAGGTGTAAGATTTAAACAAACAATGTTGAGTAAACGTAAAGATGTCGAAACAAGAGAACAATCTGTCAGCCGTTGTCGCTTTGTTGCGCGCCGGAGTATGCATGAAAGAAATAATTCGATCGGTAAATGTGTCTGAAAAAACAGTGTATAATATTAAAAAAGGCTTGGGAAAGTGATAAGACGGAGCACCTGCTCATACTGCTAATAAAGCACAGAAATGCCTTACGGAAAATATTTCGTAAATTTGGGAGGAAGAAATTTGGCCCCCAAGCAGTCCCGATATCAATCCGTTGGATTATTTTGTATAGGGCGTCGTCCAACGGGATAACAATAGAACCCCTCACACCAAACTCGCTAAAAGCTAAAATCAAGGCAGTGATGACATCTATGGATCGAAACATTTTAAAACGTGCATACTGCAGTTTCCGGAAGCGTCTAACTGCAGTCGTCGAAAGGGAAGGCAATTTTTTTGAATAAATTTACTTACAACTTCCATATGTTGCGAAAGAAAATAAATCGCACAAAATTCATTGCTAGAATAACTAACTGATGTATTTTTTCTCAAATATGCCATTTACTGCAAAAAATCGTCACGCACCCTGTACATGATATTTTTAGCCTATTTCGTATAGCATATTAGCTGTTTGCTTGCTCTCAACTTAATGTTTTTGAAGCACTTCCACATTTTAATTGATAGCCTACTATGCCTGTACAATCCTATACCCAAGGAAGTCGTGAAATTTTCCATCCCGGAAAATTAATAGATCGACGGGAATCGAACCCAGCCTTCTCCAGAATATACTTGCTTCGTAGCTGTGCCCCTTTACCGACTGAGCTTTGAAAAATAAAAATAAAATATAAACCAACAATGTATCATCTTCAGTTCTTTGTAGTATAACTTCTGAGTATTTATCGAACATGGCTGGATAACACGCAGTTTAAATGGAAAGGTTGCCGAAGAAAAAGAGGCTGCCGACAATAGCCACACTCACCTGAGAAGTTTGGAGCGTTGTAGAAACGTTTTCAACCCGTTTTGGACAGTTCTATCGATTGGAATGGATAGAATAGCAAGCAGCAGATGAATGTAAACAAACAAACACGTCATACCTATGTGTGCGAGACGCTGAGAAATTGCTAGCAGAAGTGCGGATTCTGCTTGGATTGACGAAAATACGTAAATTCACCTATGTTACATGTACATTATTCAAAGGTACCTAGGCCGAAGTGATAGATTGAGCATAGAAATTCTTTCAGAAAACATTTCAATTGAGACTTGAATCGACGCAAAAATGTTTCCGTCGCACCTCGTTTCTTTAGAAAGAGAAGGTATTATAATGCTATCTCGTTTTTCTCTTCACCGATAGCAGACACGAAGCGACTACTGCCAGCCGTTATGGATGTATCGGTTGTTTTCGGTTTTAAAGCAAAAATCATGAAACTCAATCTCACCACAGTTTGGTGAGATTTGCAGCTGGTGAGATATATTAGCTTGATATTCCGAGCTGCGAAATCAAACCTTGCAATATCAACCGCAGTTGTTTGCATGTAATCTTGGTCTTTGTTGAGATTTGATTTTTTTATATTTTCCCAACACTGATGGGGATTATGAGTAGTAAATCTAGGAAACTCTAAATAAAATTGGAAGGAATTTCAAGGAGCATTCCAAGAGAATTCTGAAGGGGATTCAAAGTGAGTTCAATAATGAAAATGACTGATACGACTACAATCTTGAAATTACACCTTATGATCAACTACGACCGAAAATCTCTTAAATGATGATCGACCAACTAATCAAAGATACATTCTGAGGAGAGCTGCAAGGAAATGTGGATAATTGCACAGGAAACTAATTTTAAATAAATAGAAAATATTCTTCACAGAATTTTAAGGTAGTATGAAGACAGCTTCAAGAGAATTCCTAAAATAATTAATAAGAATTTTTAAGAAATGTCAAAAACTTTGCGAGGGTTTTGACAGGAAATTTTTAGCATATTTCCAAAATAATCTCCAGGACATTCTGAAAAAAATTTCAAGGAAATCCTACGGAGAGTTTTAGGAGAGTTAGAAGCAAAATTCAAGAGATCCTTCTCAAAAGCATTTTGAGAAGCATTTGAAGGAAATTATGCGGAAAATTTCTGTGGAATTCTCCATATCCAAGGAAATTTTTGGATAACACTTTTCTTAATTCTAAATGGCAAACCAAGAGATTTCCAGGAATATTCCAAGCGAATAGTGAAGAACACAGTGAAGAGAAGTTAAAGCATATTCTTATCAGAATTTTTAAAAATACTAACATAAATGTAATAATGATGATTCATTTGCCTCTAACATTTTTGATTAACAGCATTTTAAAAAATAATGAAAGAAGCTTTTATAGGTTTTAATATTAACTACAACTTTTGTGAATTACTCAAACCTCTATCTCTTATACATGGCAACTAGAACTTGTTGTTGTTTTCAGTGAATTCAATTTAGATTCACCTGAAAAACAATGGTGGGTTCTGCTGGCTCTAGTTCATCATGCATAAGAGATATATATTTGATTTATTTATCAAAGTTGTAGTTAATATCAAAACCAACAAAAGCTTCATACATCATTTTATGGAATTCTGTCGCAGGCGTATGAATTTAAATGGATGTAAATAATTGTCCATGCCTGTCCAGGATTAACATAAATTGTCAAGATTCTGGGACTTCAGTTGAGAACAAATTTCAAGATTCTGGTATTAGAAAACTGTTCAAGATGATGGAGTTTGATTCGATTCTTCGGTTAATTCCCGGTTAATTTCCGGTTAATTCCCGGTTTCGATTCCCGGTTAATTCCCGGATCTCCCTTTTTTCCAATACCCAAAACAAGTT